TCATTTTGACCTTACGTTTTCAGGCTCCTTTTTCCCCTAAGTACCTCCATTCCTCTGTAACTGTGGGTTCCTGCTTCCTCAGCATCTCACAGATGCTCAAGTCCCTCAAAGAAAATGCCATCATATTTGCATATAGCCTATGTACATCCTTCTGTTTAAGGAGACTTCCAGTATGACATTTGGTGTAAATGCTGTGTGAATACTGCCCTTTCTAACTGAGAGAAGGTAATGACAGTCAGAGGTCTGTACATGCTCAGTATGGACACACTTTTCTCATTGTTGTCATCCTCCGTTGGTTGAATCTGCAGATGTAGAACCTATGAAAAATGACTATAAAGTGTATAGTAGATGTCAACCTAATAATGTGTATTTGGTTCATAAGAACCTTTTAATCATTTGCAAGAGAAGCTTTGGTGGCCCCAGGTTATCTAGTAGCTCCCTAGACAGCAGGAAGGTCACAGACGTATTTCCATTTTCTATTGTATTGTATACCTGGCAGCAGTTTCCCTTCTCATCACGGTCACTTAGAGGTCTTTAGATGGCAGCTGCAGTTTCCACCATCTACATCTACATCTGAACCAGGGGCAATAGCTTTGGGCAGACGTTCTTTGTTGGTTCCTGGGTAATTGTTCACATGCAAATCCTTGGTCAACTTTTACCAGGGGGGTCAGTGAATATCTGCAAGGGGAAAAATCACCTTTATCTGGTTATACTGCTATTTCTGATAAAATAGAGGTTTTATTGCAAATACTATCTTAGTCAGGGTTTCTATTCCTGCACAAAACATCATGACCATGAAGCAAGTTTGGGAGGAAAGGGTTTATTCAGCTTATACTTCCACATTGCTGTTCATCACCAAAGGAAGTCAGGACTGGAACTCAAGCCGATCAGGAAGCAGGAGCTGATGCAGAGGCCATGCATGGAAGGATGTTACTTACTGGCTTGCTTCCCATAGTTTGCTCAGCTTGCTTTCTTATAAAACCCAAGACTACCAGCCCAGGGATGGCACCACCCACAATGGGCCCTCTCACCCTTGATCACTAATTGAGAAAATGCCTTTCAGCTGGATCTCATGGAGGCATTTGCTCAAGAGAGGCTCCTTTCTCTATGATAACTCCAACTTGTGTCAAGTTGACACACAAACCAGCCAGAACAAATACATTGGGGGAAAATATACGAGACAAGCAAGTTGGACTTTCTGACACTTCCTCCCAGGCTCCAGCCCTCTGGCTAAACAGTGTCAGAGGGTTATATCATTTCTTGACATAAGACATAGAAGGGAGAAAGGATTGAGTTTAGAACAGGTTGAGTGTAAGCTACTGGAGGTGTTCTTTGAAGTGTTTCTTCTTTTTTTTTTTTTAGATATATTTTTATTTTTGCTTATGGGCACATGTGTGTGGCTGTGTTAACATATGCCACTTGTGTGTGAGTGCCCAAGGAGGCCAAAAAAGATTTTAAGAGTCTTTGGAGCTGGAGTTTCAGGCACTTGTGACTACTCCCTATTGCATGTGGGTTCTGGGAGATGAATTTAGATCCTTAGGAAGAGCAGTAAGTAAGCATTCTTAATTAGAGACATCTTTCTAATCCCCAGCTGAAGTTTTCTGTGGCAGGCAGAATGATGGAGAGGAGAGGAGAGGAGAGGAGAGGACATCACACAGAGATGTCTAATTGGAATCTCTGGAGCTTGTGGGTAGGTTGTCCTATATGGAGAAAGGGACTTTGCTGATATGACAAAGAGTATTAGAGGCTGAGCTTCCCCCTACCTAATGTACATGATGAAATCCCTCCCCAGGCCCCTAGGATGTGGCTGTATTTGAGGCAAGGTCTTTGCAGAGGCAGCGATGTTACAGGAGAGCATGTGAGAAGCTCGGGTCAAACATTTCTGGTGGCCCTATAAGGACATGAGATTAGTCCACAGACCTGTATGGATGAGGGGACCACATGGGGACACAGAGAGGACATACCATCTGCTAGTCAAGGACACTGGCCTCAAAGGAAATCATCTCTGGTCCCTTATCACCACCTCTCAGCTTCCACAGCCACAAGATGGCTGCCTAAGCCATCTGCTCAGTGGAACTTTGTCATAGGAGTATTAGCCAACTGGGACAAAGAGCTTGAGTCTGAGGGCTTTTCATGGGCTATCCCTGTGCTGACATAAACTTGAGTCTGAGAGCTTTTCATGGGCTATCCCTGTGCTGACATAAAGTCTCAATAGAAGAGACCTACATAAGGCCCAGAGCAAAATTCTTTATGAAGCAGAGAGGAGATAAGAGGGTCAGAGCAGATGGGATGACACAGGAGGCCAAACCCTTCAAGTTTCTCTCTCAAGAAATAGAAGTCTACAAATGGGAACATAGACAGCTGATGGAAGCTATATAAAGTAGGGATGGATTTCTCCCTGGACACTCTAGAGGGAACGGCAGTCCTGACCATGCCTTGCTTTAGCCCTCTGAGTCCCACTTTGAACTTCAAGCATTCAGAGCTGTAAGATAACACATGTTAATAAACATAGTAGGAAGCTAACATAACAATCCACTAAAAATCAGATTCATGGGGGTGGTTTTGGGGCCACCCTTCTACCTAGCCACAATAAAGCAATTGCTGTGTAAGTCACTTTAAGAATTGTTCAATTCTTTTCTAAAGTTTTTTTTTTTTAATTTATGTGTATGGGTGTTTTGACTGCATGTGTATTTATGCACAGGGCCTCCCTAGGCCAGAAGAGGGCATTGGATCCCCTAGAACTAGAGTTACAGATGGTTGTGAACCACCATGTGGGCACTGGGGATTGAACTGGGGTCCTTTTGAAGAGCAGCCAGTAAAAGGTTTTCACGCGCAGCTTGTAACAGATCACAGCAGACCAGACGGTTCCATGAGGGAGGGTTTATTCAGGAGATACGAGGGAGAGCGGAGAGGTAGAGGAGTGGAGGCCTGCCAGGCAACCTGCAGGTGCTGGGTTGAGGGGCCAAGAGTAAGAGAGAGAGGAGGGGGCAAGCAGCCCCTTTTATAGTGGGCAGGCCTACCTGGCTGTTGCCAGGTAACTGTGGGGAGGAGCATACCTGGCCGCTGCCAGGTAACTGTGGAGGTGGAGTTTAACAGATTACTAACAGTCAGTATTCTAAACTACTGAGCCATCTTTCCAGCCCTGGAGAAAAGTAAAGAAAAGATGGGGACTAGTGAAGGAAAAGTTTCAGAAAAGGGCAGAACCATAATGCTGGTGTGTTGAAGGATGGGTCACTGAACAGTGTAGACATGCAGAAACGTGGAGAGCCCTTGATCCCCTAATCCTGAGCGTATTCTCCAAACATGCATGTATGTCAGAATTTGAAGGGTAGGACCAGAGGTCAAGGTGGGGGTTATCTTCTCCTACTAGCCTGTGAGCAGCCCTCTTTTCTCTTGCCTGGTCCTCCTCCCCCTAAGTCTGATGTGAATACCTGGCATAGCTGTATTCCAGAGGCCTGGAGAGACAGGTTGGGTCAGGCTGGCTTGGGAGCCATTATCTGAGCATCCCTCCCCACCCTCCCATGATCATATTGTATTATACCTGAGGGTTCCCTTGTCTCTCTTCTCTGAGGATTATCCTGATTGTTCCTGTGGTCAGAGCTTTTGCCTTCATTATGCATCCAGGTTAGGATGTCTGCCACGGGCTTGGGTAATTGAAATTTCAGCTAGAGATGGTGTGTGAAGAAAGGAACAGAACAAAGGTGGGGCCAGAGCCGGAGGAGTCAGTGATACAGCTACGGCTACAAACAGTTCCTATTGCAGCCCAGGAAAACCACACAGTTCCCACTAGTGCTTTGTCATTTATTGAAGACAATTCCAACTTAGTATGTGTGAGTGACTGATTGAAGGACATTGACAATGACCCTCCCCTCTTCTTTACAGTCACTTTAGTGGCTTTCCAGAGGAATCTACAGGACAGTGGGAGGTGGTCTCATTTTGGGGTACCCTTTAGTGGATCTGTCTTTCCCTTAGAGTGTAAGACCTAGATTATGAGGTGGCCTAGGGTTCCTCTCATCTATACCTGCAGGTTGCAGGAAAACTGAGCATAGTCCTTCTCAGACAGAAGTCCCTTCCTGCAGACCTAAGGAACTTGGTTACAGAGTGAAAGCTCTTGCTTGGGCCAGCAGATTCTCTGAGGTTGCCTGAGACTGTCAGAAAGAAGTCTCAGGCATGAACAGCTGTCCTCGCACAGGCTACGCACAGATAAGCTTCTAGGGTGAGAGAGGAAAGTAAGCTCCAAATGGGTCATTTTCTACTTTGATTTGTGTTTGGAGCATCTCTCCTGGACCTGGTGTCTGTCTGCCTCATCTAGACCATAGATTCATTCTGGAATGTTATTTCTTCAGATTAAGTTTTGAGTCTCAATATTGGGCTTGTGGGATCCCACTGCACGACCACCATCTTGGAGTAGAGCTACCAGTTGCAAGGATGCTCCCGAAGAGCCAAGCACAAAACTAGCTGTCTTTATTCTCCCTGGCAGCCTTCTTGAGACAGGAAATGTAGCAATGAGGGAGTATTTTAGAAGGGGTTGTGAGTGGGGCAGCCCTGGAATGCCTGGTAGAGAAGAATGAATATGGCAGACACTACTAAATAGAATGCAGTTCAACATGACATTGATTCCATAGGTGTTGGATTAGATTAAATTCTTCTAAACAGAAGAGCGACAGGAGGAGCCGGTAATACAATCTGGTGAGATGGTGCTGTGGGTGGTGCTCCTGTCTTCTGAGATGACTGAAGTCACTACCCAGAATGCTTTGTTGCAGAAATGTAGCATCCAACCTGGCTGCATTCACAGATTGTCCCCACTGCTGGCTTTCATGAGGCAATGGTCTTTGGCAAAAATTTCCAACATGTGCAACTTTTGGGGTGACTCTGTCCATTTTCTGACCCTCAGTTTTGTGGGGAGCCTGGTGCAGGGTGGGGGAGCTAACTGATATTTGGGATATTTTCTCAAAGGCTCTTCTTTGCTTCTGTTTGCTGAGGACTTACCTTGAGGGTCAGGGGTTGGGGAGCAGGTACTGATGTGGTTGTGAAAGATGCCTAGAACTTGAAGATTTCCTGGTACTATGATTACCCTCAAACTCCCTTCCGTTGGGACATACTTGATAGTGATGTCTGCAAAGACATTCCTCCCACAGCTATGCCTAGACAATGAGCTCTCAGGATAATGAGGCGTATGGGGTGTGGGTTCTAAATGAGCTGGCTGTGAGCTCATCTGTGTGTTCCCTTTCATGAAGGCACAGAAGAATAAGAGGCTTCATCACAAGGCTGACCTTCCATGTCAGAAGAAAGGAGTGGTCTGTAAGCCCGTTGTGGAGGCACTAGACATCCGTGGAGGTACTAGGCAGAATTTCAATAACCCCAGGATTGGTCCTGACATGCCTGTATGAAGGAAATGGGTGGACCTGGGTTCACTGATGTGAGTGTTAATGAGGGACATGATCTTCTTAAGTGAACTTTGAAAGGCCAGAGGCTTCCCAAACTGACTTTTTAGTCAGGGAGTCAGTGTGTGTGTGTGTGTGTGTGTGTGTGTGTTAATTCCACAAAACAAATACTTCCACTGAGAAATGTCCCACAATGCAACAGGAACAAAGATGGATTCTGACTGCCTATAGAAGTACTGTGAAGGACTGAGATATCTGAAGACCTGTTGGAAGTTGTTTGTCATGGTGTTCCCAAATGCCTGAAGGTTAAGGGATGAAGAGAGTCAACCTGAACCAATGCAGCTCCTGTGACTCACTGTGCTATCAGGTGCTTTCCTCTGCTCTCTGGCCTGGCCTTGCCGGAAAAGCTTTGGAAATCTGTTATAGGCATCTGGTCTTTGTGTCTATATGAAGTTTTGAGGGCACTTACCTCTTGGGTTATATCTACTTGTTGGGCCCTCTGAGATGCCTCTCCCAGTCCCTATTGACCCCAGGAGCCTGCAGTATACCAAGGAGAAGCTGGATGTAAGGCACTTGGAGGAGCAGGGGGAAGTAGGCAAGAGAGGATGGAACAGCATCCAGGAGTTCTGCAGAATCCTATTCCCTTAGCTTCTCCTCATGCAAGGGAGTTGCTAACTCCTTGTATGTCTTGCCCATTCAAAACACTTCCTTCCCCTTCATGTTCAGAAGAGATGAACATGGTCTCCAGAAATCTGTCTTCCTGTACATTTGTTAGATCCATGTGTTCCCGTGGCCACCCTAAAAACTCAGCATGGAGTATTGCCAGTTGGCTTGGCCATGTTTCTCCCTCTTTCACTTTTGGAAATAAGATGACATCAGAGACTGGGTCTGGCTATTCCCAACCTAGGCCTGGAGAAGGAAACTCAATAAATACTTGATTGTTTGGTAGGGAGGGATGGGGTGATAGAGGATGGGATTTTTTTTTTTTCAGTGAACCTGTCTCTAGAAACCCATGGAACATTATTTGGACATGGTATTCAATCTCAGGTTAGGTCTTGATTGAGAGGAGGGGGAGATGACCTTACAAGTCCCATCTGTGACCTTTCATCCTTCTGTTCTGGAGATGTGTAGAGGCAGAGATGTAGTGAGGAAGGAAGTTAGAACAATGAGCTTTTGTTCTTGGCTAATTGCTAAGATGAAGGCGGTCTGCAAGAAGTGCATTGGAGGATGAAGGGGGAAACTGATTCCTGTTAGCCTGCTTATTGCCTCTTCTGTTAATACATATATTTAGGAGCTAACTTCCTTCAATGTATAAGTTCCAGACTACTCCCAGATGAATGGTCTGCTCTAGCCCCCATCACTGTCCAGATTTTGGAATGTGTGATACATGAGAAATGTTCTTTCTCTTATAATGCTAGTCAATGTCCCATCCAAGGAGGGAGCCAAGACTGTCAAACCCAGTGGGTCTGAAGTCAGTCTTCTCTCCTCAATCACTTTTGGTTCCAGAAGATGCAGATGCGAATCCAAGATCAGGCACACAACTATAACATGAAGTTCTCCTTAGGAACATAGTCAACTCCTGAAGAATTTCCCAGCATGCACACAGTGCCCTTGGCAGAGAGAGTGGGATGGATAATGGCTGAATGCAGGTGCCAGGGATGAGAGTAATGAGAGTATCCAAGGGCGCAGCATCCACAGCAAAGGAGAAATCAGGTGAGACTCAGCCAGCAAGGCTGCTCGGTTGTATGAGGGTGAAGCCCTGAGCTCTATCCCGCCTAAAGGGCCAAGAGGAGGGTTTGCCTGAGTCAGCTTCGTGGTACCTGCAGAGAAGGTAGGAGGCTGCTTATTGATCTGCAGATCTTCTGGACAACCAGTCATCAGCGGTTCAGGAGGAAGAACTTGAGGCTTTGGAAGAAGTTGGACTTCTGCCTTTGCTTCTGCTTCTTTTTGATTATGGGAACCCACACCAGCCCACACACCAGCATCATGAGTCCCAAGGACAGGAAGGCAGGCCCTATCATCCTGAGGACTTGCACAACCTTCTGCCCCTCTTCCAAGATGTAGGCCACGCAGGTGATGGCCACGCCGAAGAGCAGAATGGCAGCCCCCACTGACATGATGATGATGGGCTTGTGGTAGATTTCCCAGTTGCTTCTAGGGGTGGTGGTCCAGACAGACTCACTTCTGGAGCTGATGCACAGGGAGCTGGCTGTCTGGCTGGGCAGCAGGTCCTTGGACTCTGGAGACCTCTCGTCTACCTCCAGGGCCTTGGGGAGCACCTCCATTGTCGTGGCTGTTCAAGAATGGATACCTAGTATTGGCAACAATTAGAAAGGATGGTGAAGCCAAAGGAATCCTTTCAGATCCTTCCTGTACTCAGTGTCCTTCTCCAGCCTGGCTCTCAGTAGAGGGGAATATGGTGCATGCACGTTGAAATTAATGGTAACACCAGGTCAAATCTGCATAAATAAAAATCATCCCAGGGAGGCAACTTAGTCAGGGGAGATGGCTCAGTGGGTAAAGTACTTGCTGTGTAAGTGTGGGATCTTGAGTTTGGATCCCCAACACCTATTTATAAAGTAGGCATGGTAGCAGACTGGGGTAGAAGTTGGAGTAGAGACAAGAGAATCCTGGGAGCTTCCTGGCCAGCCAGCCTAGTCAAATTAGCAAGCTCCAGGTTCAACAGGAGAACCTCTCTCAAAAATTAAGGTGGAGAGCAATTGAGTCTGACAGTTACCCTCTGGCCTCTAACATACATTCACAACCACAAGAGTGTCCATCCATACTCATGAACACACACATATAGTTCACACCAACCACAAAGAAGTGATACAAGGTAGTAATTTTTCTTCCCATTTTGTTTTCTAAGACAGAGACTCATTGTGCAATCTAGAGGCAAATTATAAATCTACCTCTACTTTCTGAGTGTTGGGGTTGCAGGCAAGTGTCACCACACTGGGTTAATGTCATGTCACACTAATGTCACCTTTAACATTGAAAGCAGTGAACTATCCTGCATTTAAGAACAAACACAAACCATGGTTTATTGAGTATGTGTCATTTTCCAGCTATGTGATCTCAAGTGAGTTATCAACCTCTCTGTTTTCTTATCTACAAAATGAGAGTAACATTAGCTTCCTCACAGGGGTTTCAAAGGGGTTAAAGGAGTGCAGGTGTGGACTGCGAGGGATCGATGCCCAGCATATTCTGTGTGCTCTGTAAGTGGTATCATTGGCCTATTAGGACAGCAATGCTTAGCTCTCCTTTCATCAGACTAAAGTAACATCATAATCCCCGTGCACTGATTTAGACCCATTTTACAGATTAGAAAGCAGAGGCTTGGAGAGGCGAGGCAAATTAGTTCCTAAGAGTTTTCACCTACAGGACAGTGCAACTTCAAGCACCTGGGATTTCAAGAGCTTTGTCCACTTGGGAGTCTCAGCTTTACACGGTGTCACGTGATCTTTTACCATGTAATGCTCCCCTGACCACACCCCCACCCCACCCCTCATGTTGACATTGTTGTGGCAGAGCTGAACCTTCCTGTTTTGCTTCAGTTTTGATTTGCCTCTATGTGTCCCCACGGTTCCCGGTGGGGTTGACAGGGTGGCAACTTAACCTGACTGTGGTCTGCATGAGGAGCCTTGGAGAGGCGGCTAAATTAGTAGAGGTTGTCTGGATGGGGTGTCTGTAGTTGGGTCCTTGTGCATTTCTCAGCAAAGGATGAGAGGCCAGACACACCTCAGTACTTCCTGTCACCAGCATAATTCTCTGTGCCAATCTCAGATGTCCCTTACAAGGAGTCACTAATAAATTCAGACCCTGGTACCTTCTCAACTGAGCTAAATAAACACATTCTCTCTATAAACTAGCCAGTTGCAGCTATCTGGTCACAGTAACAGAAAGTGTAGTTGTACATAGTCTAAGGGCCTGCAATCCAGCTCAGCCGCCCTCATCGAACGTGTCTCTCTAGACCTCTCAGTCCCTCGGGGCTCCTTCATCTCCTGTTCTCCATTTAGGGGATGCAGCCTCTCATGTGAATGAAGTGATACAGATATGCTGAGAAGCCCTACCTGCCTGGCAGAAATGTCTCCATCTGATCAGCATGGTCTCAAATTTCTTCAAGGTGGGATTGAAGCCTTTCAAACCAGAAATGTTTTCTAGTGCAGACACCCGTGTGTCTGCAGTAAGGCAGTAAGAGATGAATGACTGATAAAAGATGCCCCCCCCCAAACTGTGATCAGATTTTGCTTGGGAGGAAGGCAAGGCTGAGGGAGCCCAGAGGTTTGCCCCACATCACTAGAGCTTCACACTCTTTGTCAACATTTGACAGAATGAGTAAGCTCTGAGCACATCTCCCCACTTTCTTCCCTCCTCGACTCTCCTTTCTCCTGTTCACTCCAACAAACCCAGGTGTACCCTACCTGTGAAGTAGGTTCTTTACCTGTGAGTTCCTCCCAGAGCTTCTTGTGCAACAGACTCAGGACCTGCTGACTTCAGTGTGCACACACATGCCAGCATAGGGCTAGGGCTCCTCCTGCAACAGTCAGTCTACTGGGGAAGGTGGGCTGCTCATCACAACCATAATGAAGTCCTTTTGCTCACCCCAGTTGCCATGCTGGTGAGAGCACCCGTGGCCGACTGATGATGAAGGCAGGACGCGTTTGGGAAAAAAAATGTCGTCACCTCTGGAGTAAAAGGCAGCATGGAATAAAGGACAGCTATCTGGAGCTGGGGGCTCCCAAGTCCTGTGCCTTGGGAGTGTTTTCTGTCTTTAGTCTTCCTTCGGTGTTGTACAAACTGATCCCTCCCGCCTCCCTTTCTCCACGGATAGTAGCTCCATCCAGAAACTGATCCCTGGGTTATTTTTCCTGCACCTCAAAGCACAGTCCTTACAGCTTTCGCTTTCTAGATTAAGCAATTATAGACCTCTCCCCACCGACAGGAGGAAATTAGAATCATAAAATTACCGAAGCCTTCAGAATTTAGACATCATTCACATTCAGATGCACTTCATGGAGAGAGGAGGATATTTGAGTCTCTGCTTTCAAAAACTGCCCTGGTGTTTTCGTAACCATAGGCACAGAAATGCTTGGCTCCTTTGGGAACGGTGGTGTATTTGCATAAGCTAAGCCATCATTTAAAAGGTGATCTTCTTTCCAGTGGACTGGGGGCAGGGAAGAGACATAGAACATGCTAGAAAACCTTGGGGATGATTATTACAACCAACCTGTGGTCACCGGAGGATGTGTGAGTTGGCCTCAGGATTTCACTAGGTACCCATTCATTCTTTTGCACTTCTTAAGGAAGACCCAGGGCATACACACTGAAGTTAGAGAGGCTGAGGTTGCTGGGATGATGGGCAGGGGTGGGGTGGAGTTGAGGGATGAGGAGGTAGGCTGGGCCTTGGGAGGGGGGCAGAGCTGGAATGTAGTACTTATTAGTTGTATCTGGGAAAAGACTTGAGGCTGGACCAGGAAGGGCTGGTTCCACTGAACTGCTATATGGAGTATATTCCTGAACAGAATGTGCCACGTTAGAGGCAGGGGAAACGATTTTTGGGTTCTGAGAAGAGAATGACACTATCACTAGGCCTGCTGAAAGTGCCCCACACTTTTTTTTTTTGGCTCTTATCAGCACAGTTACTAGCCGAGCTTCATTTTGCAAGGGCTTAGGCAACACATCTGTGGCTCCCCGCCCCCAGTCTAGCTTTTCAGGTCACTGTGTTGGGGATTCAAGCAGAGGTATTTAAATGCAATGCTCTTTATGCTACACAACAACCAAACTGCTGAGTCCTGAGGGATCAGCTACAAGAATTTTGAATTCTTTCCTTTGGAGCTTCCTCCATCCCCGAAGTAATTTTCCCTGAATAGGGGAGGATGCAGGTCTGTAGTTCTCTAACATTGCCTATGTGGGAGGTGAGCACTGTTTCATCCCATAGTTACTCTGTTTAATCTACTTTGAGATTAGGCCCTCCCTTCTCTTTTTGATATTGGTATAATCTTCATTTTATGAAACGCCTGTGATTATTGATTTTACTACTACTTGTAGTTGACAAGAAAAGTTCTGTCTCTGTCTCCTATATCGATTTTCTCAGGGCATCAGTTTATTTTCCTTTTATACAGCTATCATCTGTAATTGAGCTATCATGTAGGTATCCATCTGTCATTAATCTGTCTTCTATATATGTGCATATGTGTGTATCGTCTGTCATCTGTCAATCATCTATCTATCCATCATTCTAGCTGTCATCTTTCTAGATTGTAATGGAGTTCATGAAATCTCAAAGAATGGGAACCCGGACTGAGATGACTTACATGGAGGAAGGGTGGATCTTTGGTACTCAAGGGGCAGAAAGAAGTATTTGTTGATGGTCACTGAAGGAGAGACACTGCAGGAGTCTCCTGGAGCAAGGGCAAGGATTATGCCTTCTCTTTTCTTCTTGCCTCCCCTTTCCTTCACTCCACTCATGTCTTCTTCCTCTTTGACCAGACTGGAGGCAAGGGACAACTACTGACTGGGGGGCCAGGCAGGACCAGGCCATGGATGAGACTTAGTGCAGGGAAGACTTAGGCCCAGCCATTCACAGTTCTAGGAAGTCTATAGCATAAAAAGATTCAGGTCTTTGGACTCCAGAGCTTAGACTGGGGTGGGGTAGGGCAGAAATATACAAGCTGTAGGTCCTGGACAGGCGCGTAAGCTTCTAGAAATGTAGTAACCATAAATAAAGTAGAGATCATAAAGCACTGGCCTCATAGTATTGTTGTGACTGTCAAATTTCATGAACAAAACACTACAGTGCCACCATTGGGCATGTTGTGATTGTTAGTATTCTGTCTAAACTCCACCTCCACAGTTATCTGGCAACTCCCAGGTATGCTCCTCCCCACAGTTACCTGGCAACAGCCCTTCCTCCCTTCCCTTCCCCCTCTCTCCATGTGGTCATGGCTGGCCTCCACTTCTCTCCTCTCTCTCTCCTCTTTCTCCACCATCTTCTCCCGTTTCTCTCCCTACCTTTGCCCTCTGCCCTGAATGACCCCCTCCCCTTCGGAACCGTTTGGTCTGGCGTTGTCTGTTCCAAGCTGCGAAGTCTAACAGTGATGATGGAGGCCTAGCCACTCCTTTGCCAGTCTGATCTTTTTGTCCCCGTTTCCTTATCTGTGACATGAAGGAGTTGAGTTGGATGACTTCTAATGTTATTTCAGATGGGTGGATAGTTAGTTGATTTGAACTCTGAGTATTTTAGGTTTCCATACAAATCACTAATTGAGGGGCTTTCCCACATTTTATTACAGTCCTCTGAAGATTCTG